TGTATATTTTTGGTTAAGAAAGGAAATAACAAGTCTGGTGTAACTTAGTTACTAAGTCTGTGCTTAGCTGCTGATTTTATTTTATTTTTTAATTTGTCAAAAGGTGAGAAATCACTTTTTCATTAAGAAGATCACTAAAGGGCACCAAAAGAAGGAAGAATAAAAATACCTGTGAATGGTGAAGGAGTCTTTGTTGCAATCAGTTTCTTTCCTTGCTGATGTTCCTCTTTGGCTGCTCATGGAGCACTCAGTGTTGGCTGCTTGTCAGTGCTGATGTCAAATATAAACTCTCATGCAGATACATTGTTTACTGGAGGATTTAGTCTTTCAAGGACTGCAGATTTCTGTAACACAAACTCCAAGGTCAGCTGGTGTTTGCGGAAGTGCCTCCTCTGTCTGCAGCAGAGTTTTTTCTGTTTTATTCCTCTGCTTTACAGTTCTTTTGTTCCCAAACTATTGGGTTTGGATTGACATACATTTTCCACCTCCCCAGCCTGGCTGCTGCCAGAAGTGGATTTTGGTTTTTGAAAGTCTGAGCAAGAGCAGTTTGTCCATTTTGGAATATGACATTACTACTCATTATGAAAATACTGGGGGGTTTAGGTTTTTAAGTTAAAATAAGTGGACATGGGAGTTACAAAGAAAGAATTGGTTCTAATAATACTGAACTATGGTCTACTGAAAATCACAGGTTGTGCATTCCTAGGTTTTTTTTCTGTTTTCCTAAACTAAAATGCTATGGCAGATGGAGGATCTGCCATGTAGGTAGTGATATTTGGGAAAATAGGAAACAACTCGGATGAAAAAACAAAAATAACTGTCATTTAACTTATTTTGTCATGATTTCTATTTTACTGTTCTGTCCTACAGATTGTTAACAATGAATGTGTTTACTTTTCCGAGTAAAAACTACAGACACCTCCTTCAGTCCAGGAACGTAAGCTTGAAATGTTTGTTCCTATTAGTTTCAATTCCTGCCTGATGCTGGTTTAGCACTGGGCACGGTCTGAAGACATTACTCCTCCTGTGTGCGAGTAGGGAATTGCCATTGAGCTGGGTTACTAGGGAAGACTTTTGGTAGCTGCCAATTTAATTTTCCCCCTGTTTCTTTTTTGTCTGGAATAAATGAGTAACTCAGTAATATCAGCTGTTGCTGTCTGGGCAGAATATAAAGAGTAATTGAGAAGTTTGGAATGGGAAGTATGCCGTGTTGGGAATTTGTATTGAAAACAGGACCTTTCTGAGACACATTCATGCAACTTCTTGCCCTGACGTCAGAATTACAGTAATTAAGTGCTTAATTGAAAGATTTTGCTTTGTGCTGCTTCCATGCAGGTTAAACAGTGATGTGGAGCTGCCCACTCTGTAACTTTCATTTTGTCCACTTCAAAACTTTTTAAAGCTTTTTGGGAAGGGTGATTATAAATGTAATAAGTAATCTGAGGAGCTAAGAAGAGTTTTCCCACAGCACTTGAGACATAATAATAACAGCTTGTGTTCTGTCTCAAGCTTTTGTAACCCATTTTAATTTAAAAATAAAATAAAATCAATACTGTTCTTTTAAAATGGGACATTGGTATTTTTGCTTTATATTTTGAAGGAAGCACTATGAAATCAGTCAACTTAGAATGAGGTTTTTTTTAACTTGTTATTGTAAATAAAACCCAAAATCATTGCTGATGGACCATTCAGAATAATTTTACACTTCTAACATTTGGATGACACCTTTGTAATTTGATCAGTTACAAAGTGCTCCCAGCTCCAACCGTCTTAATTTCTTCATGTCTAATGGAAGGAGAGAGGTGCCAGGGGTATGGGAGAATGAAGGCAGCTGGGCTGTCATCAGGCATGGAACTTGATGGAGCCACAGAGGTGTAACTCTGTTTAAATGCTGCACATCGGAGGAACCCATGTATTATTATCTGATATTAATGCCTGTGTATAACTAGCCATGGACACGACACAGTTTCCTTAATCGACAGAGCACACAGTTGACTGTAAAACTTGTCTGTTAGCAGATGACTTTCACAAATTAATCCAAGTGTATTAGTGCTAACAGAAGGTGTTTGGAACCAGAGTTACTGCTTATTTCACAAATGAGAAGCCAGAGACCTGAGGTCACAGGACATCTGTTCAATAGCTTCTAGGGATTAATAGCTCTATCTATGAAAAGCCAGGCTGGCGTGTCCCATCTTCTACAGGTGGAAGTATGTGAGGTGGGTCATGGTATCGCTGCATCCCCACAAATATTGCTGGCTAAAAAGTATTCCTTTCTCAAATCTCTGGTGCCTGTGAACAATAGGAATACAGTGATAATAAATGCATGGGTATAAGCACCTTAAAAACAAAAAAAAAAAAAAAAGAAAGATGCTACTGTATTTAAGGATTTTTTTTCCTGGTTAGTGTATTAAGATTTATTCACAAGTGCAAAGCAAGAAATGTATTTCATTTGAAAGTTAAGGATTTAATTTTCAAAGTGCCTTTCTCGAGGAGCACGTGTGTCTTGTGGTACAGAGTCTGTAACATGCCTGAGGAGCGGGCCTGTAGACAGAAGAGCAAGAATGTTACCTACTGAAGATGCAGCTTACCATTACCCGTATCATTCCTCATTTCATTCTTGTCATTTAAGAAGTAAAACCCAAACCAACAGACTCTTCTTCAAGCACAGATTTTGGCTAAAAAAAAAATAAATCCAATTGTGTTCTTACAAAAAAAAAAAAAAAAAAAAAGGCATTTTAGACATCACAAAACTTGCCCAGAAAGAGGAGAGCACTCCTCATCACATTGTGTCACCTCTCAGCCAGACAGCTTTTTATCCACTGAAGCGATGAAGAGCTGTATCATTTCTCCTGACTTGCAGTTTTGTTTGGGGTTTTCAGCATCAGTGGCCTGATACAGCATGATACCAAGAAGCTTTCTGAATGAATTGTGTTTATGCCAGGTGAATTCACCTCATCTGTGCTTCACACCCATGGTTACCCTTACAGGGGTAACATATGTGAGAAGGAAGAGCCAAACTCTTATTGTTCTCTGTCTTGTTTCTGGCCTTTCCTCCTTGGTTATAGCATTGGATTCAGACAGGTCCATTCACGTCAGTGTGACTACCAAAGCTGTGTCAGATTTGCCGTACTCCACAGCCGTCATACTTCTTCCTCACTGAAGTTTTTCTTTTTTAAGTGGTACAGATGTATTTAGCTGTACTGCACAGTTTTTAAAACATCAACAGTTAATCTCTGTCCTGTAAGAAGCAATTACTCCTGAATTTTTATGCATCTCAGTAATGTGAAACAATTTCCCCAGCTTTCACCATCTTTTTTATTTTTCAAAACCCTCTTTGTTCTGACCTGACGTGGCCCATTCTCTCTACTAGATTGTTTCATTTCATTTTATTAAGTTATTCTAATTCTATTACTAATTTATTATACTGCCTAATACTTTCAAGGACTGTTCTGAATTTAAAGAGTCAACTACAGAGCTGTGTGCTTGCTTTGATGAGAAAGTGATAGAGTCTTCCGTCACTCTGACTTCTCCAGTAAACAAGACTTCAGTGGCATGAATGCCTGAGGCATGTTCTGTTGGAGGGAGGAGTTGCCATAGTTGTAGGATTACTTCATGGTCCAAGGTAGAATGTGGGTATCAGTGACTGTGCTACCTCCCACTGTACCCTGCTAGCCTTTGTGGCTTTGCCCTCAACTAGACTGTGAAAAGGGCTAGTTTCATAGTTTTGTGAGGGATTCATAGCAAATGACTGCACGGAAATCATGGTGTGAGAGGGCGGTGTTAGGTTCCCGCTGGTTTCTTTGCAGGGAAATGTAGCCTTCCCGTTATTAACAGAATAAATACTATCACCTTGGCTTTTCTTGAACACTGTTATAAGGAAAAAGTTAGGGTATTTCTAAGATGTTCATAGAACCATGGAATTGTTCAGATTGGAACAGACCCTAAAGCTCATCCAGTTCCAGCCCCCTGCCACGGGCAGGGACACCTTCCACGAAATCAGGTTGCTGAAAGCCCTATCCAGCCTGTCCTTGAACACTGCCAGGGGTGGGTAGCCCCAGCTTCTCTGTGCCAGTGTCTCACCACCCTCACAGGGAAGAACTTCTTCCTAATACCTAATCTCCATCTCCCCTCTGTTATCTTAAAGCCATTCCCCCTTGTCCTGGTACTACAGGCCATTATAAAAAGTCTCTTGAGACTGGAGTATGGGGAGAATCCCCTCCCTTGACCTACTGGTCACGCTCCTTTTGATGCAGCCTTGGGCATGGCTGGTTTCTGGGCTGCAAGCACACACTGCTACTGCTACTTCCTCTTGCAGAAGCCGAGTTCTAGTTCTATGAACAAAGGCCTTGAATGTGCTGTGATGAGCAGCTCTGCTTAGTTCTCATGATTCCTGGCAGTGGTCAGGCTGGTCCAGTGAAGGCTGCTTCTGCAGCTCTTGCTTTCCCCTGAGGCTGGCTGTGGATTTCTAGGTCAGCAGTGAAATCCTGTTTGGGTGTAAACTGCCCTGTGCCAGCCTTTCTTGGCTGTCTTGGATGCACTCAGAGCATCTGTCCAGGTTTCAAGACTTGCTGGTGTGAAAGTTGCAGGGGGCCATGTGGTCCCTGATGTTGGTATGAGCAAGGGGGTTTTGGCCCCTGCTTCAGCCCACTCTAACTGGGGAAGAGCCACACTGTCCAGCTACACAAACAAATGATGCTGGTTTATGGAAGGAGCTGCAAATAGTGTGTAACTGATCTAGTCTGGTCTCATAGCTGACCCAGCTTTGAGCAGGAGGCTGGATGTAGACCTCAAGTGACCCCTTCCAGATTGAGTCCTTCTGTGGAAGTGGTTTGCATGGGGTCATGCCTGTGTATTGGATGTTTGCATGTTACAGAAACAAGAATAATGTGAAAAAACTTTGAGAGATTTTTCTGTAGTTTCTAAAGATGCTATAATTTTTTACTTATTATTTTGCTGTAAACTTACTCATATTAATCTCATTGTATTTTTTTTTTTTCCAGTCAAAATGTTATGGCCAGACTTTATTGGCTGAAGTTTACAAGCATCTGAATTTGATTGAATCAGACTACTTTGGGATTGAGTTCCAGAATATCCAGTCATATTGGGTATGTACAGCTCCCTGATGAATTTGGTATAATAAAAACATGGGGTGAGTGTGGTTGGTTGCATGTCAAAAGTTTCAAAGTCTGCTGGAGTTTCCTGTAGGATTATCTCTTTCATTCTTATAAATCTGCTTCGCTCGCCAGAACAACAACTAACAAAGCAGAGGTGAGGAATCAGATTCTACTACTTGTTAAATCTTAAGTAAATGTATAAAGCAGTTAAGTAGTTGCTGGTGTTCCCACTTTTAGGGACATGAATGAAATCCTCCTTCCCTCTGACATGGGAAACATAGCTCAAAGTGTAGTCCATGGAGCACTTACAAAATGGCATTACACTGTGTGATTTTGGTGTCTTCAGGTAATTTCCCTTAAGAGTCATTATGAAGCGCTTTTCTAATAAATACAAACTTCAGCAAACATAGACCTGCAAGCTTTTCAAATCATTGATCTAGATAAATACTGACACTCTGTAAGCCTCCTAGTACCATGCAAAGAGGACAATGTGACTTCTAAACTAGAAAATGTTCCCAAAACTGTGTCTTTTTCTTCTTTTTTTCCTCTTACTTTTTCTGGTTTTAGGATTCGCACGCAGAAAATGTCACTGAAACATAAAGAATGCTGATAGCATTAATACGCACTGGTCTTGAGCCAAGGAAATACAGTAAAGCTTGTTTAGTTTCTATTTCTTCTGCAGAGCATCCAGTGTTTCTGCATCTGATAATGTTCTTCAGATCCTCAGCTCTCTCTCAGACAGAGAAGTAACTAGTAAGGACCAAAAAAATTGTCTTGTTACAATTTATGTTTTAGAGGGATGGGGGAAAAGAGAAGTTGAGCATCCAGAATAGTGTTAGTTTTATGGATGATTCTTTTTCAAGAACAGCAGTTGTCTTTCTTTAAGAATGTGCTTGTCAGAAGAGAAAAAAATGTGGGAAGTTAATACTGAGTGAAAATGCTTAAGCTGGTAAGTAAGAGAGATAGAAAGGGAAAAAAAAAATTGGACCTTATCATGTTCTCCAGACCTTCTGTAACTCTGTAGCCTGGCTCCTGTGCACAGTGTGTGTTTTGGCATGATTTCTGTCTTCTTAGCAGGGCTGGTGTTGCTTTTGCTGACTTGGCTCTTCTTCTGTCCAGATGAGCTTTAAGCACAGATCGGTGGTTTTTCTATTGATGCATGATAAATGTCAAATTAAATAGATAAGTACACTTTTTTTAAAGCAAGGGAATTGCTGCCATACTGCAGTGAGGAAGAAATGCCTACTCATAAATTACTGCTTGATTTGAATTTCCTTTTGATGTTTTCATATTGTATTCAAATAGCAATGTCAGTTTGTAATTTTTTTCTCTTTAATTTCAGATTTGGCTGGAGCCTATGAAACCTGTTATTAAGCAAGTACGACGTAAGTACTTTTTAAAAAGGAAGTTTTTCTTAATTTGCATCTGCTTTACGTGGGTTGTTTTCACAATTACTACTTGATTTACTGGTTATGCTTCCCTGAAAATTGTACTTGGTAGGGGTGATAGTCGTTCCTGTTCGGGCATGCAAACCTGATGTTTTTAATATGTAGTATGTGGTGGGTGGAATGGAAACTTACTGAAGGTAGGCTTCTTTCTGTGTGATAAATATCTAGATAGATTGGGTCAGCTGGCGTTACATTGAAGGGAAACTTAACACTTGCTCTTTGTGAGCTTTTGTAAGATGTGTTGTCTTTTGGTGAAAAGAAAAAGGAATATTCTGCCTTGTTACACCCATTGTATGGGAGGAGGCAGCCTCTGCTGTAGCGAAGTCCTGTCCGAGAGCTGATACACCTTTCAGAAGGGCTGAAACAAAACCGCACTCGGAGCTTGCTGACACACAGGGCATTTCAGTGGGTGGGTATTCCCAAGTCATTCTCAAAAAATCTCTCAGTGACCTCTGGAGCACTTTTACTAAGAGAGTAGTAGGGATTGCCCACCCAGTGCACGGCTGCAGCTTCAGAGTCCTCTTTGCTTTGGTTGTGAAATTTGTTTCTGCTCTTTTGCCAGGAGGATATTGCAATAGCAGTGCTATCCTTGCTTTATGCTACTCCAAAAAGTAATGCCAGATGCACTTTAAAGGCTAAAAATAGTTGAATACGGTATGATAGTTCTTCAGATGTTGAAAGATTAGATCCAACTTTCTTTTTTCCCCTTAGAACAGGGTTAAGCTGCTTGCTTGTTTTCTGTTTGTGTAGGGCTTTGTGGAAAAACAAGATCAGGAGGGGTGTGATGGATTCCTACTCCTTTCAAAATCTTAATTGAAAAATGTGGAAAATTAGTACTGGGAGGTAGTTCTGAGTTACTCTTCTACCCAAAACTGATTGCCAGAAAATAAAAATATCACCAATTCCACCTAGATTTGTTTTTTAACTTGAAGGTCATATTTTTAACTTTTAATGACATTGTTTTTAAGCAAAAGAGCTAAGCCACCTATAAAAGAAGGCTTTCTTAGAATGGGTATATAATACTTCCACTCTATTTCCACCCAATTTCAACCCAAGTGCCATCTTTTTATATATTCCACACAGTAGGCTTGCTTTGTTTTTCTGGTGTTCCTGACTGGAAAGAATTATGTCTTAGTCAAAAGGTCTGATGGTTGGCAATGTTGCTTGATTACTCTTTCCATATCCTTTTCTATACCATATAAATGGTATATATTTGTATATAAATACATAAATTATATATATAAGTATATACCAAATAAGTGATATAGAATGGCACTGGGAAAACTTGGCTTTAGATCATAGGCTGATGCCCATGTGTTCCGTGATGGTACATATGACGGTACATTGCTCTAAAATGGCCTAAAATAATGGGGATGTGCCAAAATTTATGACTGCTCTTCTTCATAGTTGCAAATGGGGTTTTCTTGTTGCAAAGTGTTACGCTACCGACTGTTCCAAATAGCTATTTAGGATCTGTTTAGATTAAAATGATAAATTAGTTTTCTTCCTGTAGTCAAGGTTGCCAAGGGCAGTGTTAAAAATGGGAGGATATGGGTATTAACGGTCATGCTGGGAGCCACATGGAGCCAGCTGGGTCCAGCTGGACTTGCAGATTCAGTTCATAAACCGCTCTGGTGGTGGTGGTTAGTGCTGGGAGAGTCTGTGGGATGTGTCTCCACCTTCCTCCCCTTCTTGGAATTTCTCACTGCAGTGCTTTTGTGTGGATCAAGTTGTTGCTTTGAGGTATTACTATAGCTTTAGTGGTGCACAAGCCTATTTTTACAACATTGAGACTCCAGACTTACCTTGGAAGTAGTATGGGTAGTTTTTAGAGGAACTACCTACTGCATCTCTGTTGATGTGGACAATCTATAGCCCGCTACAGTTAGCTGGCAGGCTGAAAGCTGGCTAGACTTCATGTGTGTTTTATTTCTCTGCTTGCTGGAAAACATAATATGCATGTGCTTACGAAGGAGAGTTTTTTGTGAAATTACAACCTTTTCTTACAGGACCAAAGACTACAATGCTTCGTCTAGCTGTAAAGTTTTTCCCTCCAGACCCGGGTCAGTTGCAAGAGGAATATACTAGGTAAAGTATTTTTTGCAGAAGTTGATTTGCATTACTTACTGAAATAAAAGGAAGGTAAGGGCAGAGGGATATTGTATCTGTTGCTAAACAAAACTGCAAAGGGGCATTTTTCATTAGTTAGTGTCACAGTTTTATCATACACATGTTGGCAGATGACTGTTACCAGAAAAAATATTGCTCAAATCAGAAAACAGTCCAGAATAGGGTTTGCCAAACACCATGATGTCAAAAGAGACAGGATATAGAGGAAATACTAAAATTTATAAGCAGGACATATATAAAATAATCAGTGCCTATTTTAATAAATGAGTTATCTTTTAAACTTCTGAAGTCCATACTTTAAGTATCCTACAACTAGCAAACACGCTTTACTGTTCACCTTTTTTCACTGATGCTCATCATGAGTAACTTCTGCTGATTGCCAATTAATCTTTGGTAAATTAAGCAGACCTTAATCTACTTGCTAGCATCTGGGAACATGGGTTGAAGTCTGTGCCTCTAACAAGGACATTACTCAGGATTTTAGTGTTAAAAGAACTCATTTAGTGCTTCTCCCAGTTGTACTGCGTTTAATTGGAATTCCTTTTAGGGATCTGCAGAGGTTCCTTATTATCCTTCAGACTTACTTTAGAGCAAAGAAGCATGATAACTGCTGTGATATGGTACAGTTGTCTCTTTTAATGATAAATAATATCTAAATATTTCATTTGCTCCCAATTTTCTTATGTTAATTACTGTTTCTTGTAAGAATTTCATTAGGAACATAGCTTTTGGGAACAGGAACTGTATTTTTGTCCATTAATGAAGCATTTTTTGTGGAATTCTGGTCTGTGCTTAGAGCATCTGTGTGTTTCATAATGCTGTTAATGTTATGTACTCTTTATAGTAAGTGTATTGAGAATTCCCAAATCTTTGATTGTGAAGTCAAGCCATGATTATGATGATGAGGAGGAGGATTGAAGAATTCATTCGTACCTTCATAAAAATATATTAAAATTAGTTTAGATTACAGAATTGGTCCTTACCAGCATGCTTTCAAGGGTGCCATTTTTTTCTTCTGTCCTTGTATGTTTTGCAGTCAGTTTATTATGTACACAAGACTGTTAGACAGAGATCTATTCCTCTTTAACAACTGATTGGGAAATACTTTAGTTAAATGAGTTGAGGAGTATAAGAAAAGGAAACTTCATTTCTTACTGGCTTTGTAGGCTGCTAACATTGTGGTCTTGGAAAATACAGCCAATGAGTAGATTAGTTGAGTGCTAGCAGAAATGCTTATTATTTTTCCTAACAGAATATTAGAATTAACGATGCTCCTCCATCTTTTTCCAAGAGATAAAATCACATGAAGTGTTAAATCTCTTTCCAGCTAAAAATGACAGCTGCTGTTACTTCAAAAATCAAACTTGTTAAAAACACTGTGCTCTGGCTTCCGTGTTCCTGTGTGTTCATTTGTGCTGATAAATTGCATTGGATTAGTCACGGGTTATTTGGTTTGATCTGGCCATTCTTGCAAGCAAGACTTCTGTGTTATCTTGTTTTTTGGAGAGAGGAAGAATTAGGAGATCCTGGTTTTATAAAACCTTGCTCAGTCATTCCATCATTCTTTCATGCTTCAGGGTGGTACTTATAACTCCAGTACTTGTAACTCTCTCTCAGGTACCTGTTTGCGTTGCAAATCAAGAGAGACTTGGCAGAGGAACGACTGACCTGCAGTGACAATACAGCTGCTCTTCTGGTCTCTCACCTTCTCCAGTGTGAGTATCTCAACTGTGTTTGACATCAGGTGATGTTGCCATTGCTGACCTGAGTTAAATAGCACACAGAATCTTTCATTAACTAGAAGCATTTTCTGTCTCAAGGGTAATTCCTTCTCTACATGTAGTAAACCTGTTAATTTTGAACACCGGGATTCTCATCAGGGCTTGCTGTGGTGACGAACAGCTTGTGCTGATGTGTGAGATCACTTTGGCTTTATGGAGACTGTATGAAACCAAACACCTTGCATGTTGTCTGCTTTCCCTGTCTCTGCAAACTGGATCACTAGCATGCTTTATCTTCCAGACAGCTGCTCCCATCTGCCTCTGAGCATCCTTGGCTTCATTTCTCACTTTCCCTGTGGCTGGGGTGATAAGCGTATAGAGACTAGGCTGAAGTAAAACTAGACATGTGCCAGGACAAGTTCAACAGTAGGATCATCAGCAGCTTTCCTCTTTGCTGGGAATGAAAATGGAAATGGGAAGCAATTAATTTGGGAGCTCCCCATGTTGCTGCTTGCTTAGTCTGTACATGCCTAAACACCTGAAACATGGTCTTTAAGAAGAGCAGGTTGAAAAACATGAATGCGTTCAGACACCAAATCAGCCAGAGCAGCTGCCAAATGATAGTGTTTACAAATCTGTAACCTGAGCTGCAGAAATGGGGTTTTGTGCCTCCTTCCTGGGTTGAAACTAAACCTGCACTGCTAAATGGTTATTAGTTATCTAATATAATCTAATATAATAATACACTTATAATAATATTACTTATAATAATATTACTTATGGTGATTTCATTATGAGAGCAAATCTAAGTTGTTTGTGTGCTGTCAGTGAGCGACATGGTTAAACTTTGCTCATGATTTTCCAGCAGTGCAGTGTGGAGCTAGTGAGCAAATCTCAGTGTCTGGCCTTGCTTGGTTTGCTTCTACTGTTCTAGAAAATCAGAAGTGACAAAGAATATGATTCTTTTTAAGATAAACTATTTTACAGAAGTGCCTTTCAATTTTCTCTCTTGTTTCCTCTGCTGGCTTGATTTTAAGCAGGATATTGCTGTGTTCTCTTAAAGAGCAGCTGCTTTGAATGGGATTATTAGTTCACATAGTCGTCTCCTTTCTATGACAGTAGTGGATAGCAGATGTTATGGGGAAGGCCTCTGAAACAGAGCAAGCATGTAGCAATACTTCCTTTGCTTCATCCATCCTGTAATGTTTGCATGTGGCCTTTGTAAGTTGAAGATTGACTCTGCATCTCTTCAAGTTGCCCTTGATGAATTTTGCTTCCATGTATTTGTCTAACTTTTGAATTTGCTTACGTTTCTGGCATCCTTCCATGCTAATGAGCTTCACAGCTTAGTTTTTTGCAAGGTTTGTAGGATAACATATATCCTTTTGTCTTTTTAAAACTTTTGCATTTTAATTTAATATTGTAACTTTATATTTCATTATCACAAAAGTGTAAATAGCTTTTTTAAATGTATTTATTGAACTCATAGTTTTTATATACATGTGCCATACATTCTGCCTGCCTCGTGCTTTTCTTTCCCATGCCAAAGATTTCTGGTCATTTCACGTCTTAATCAGATGGAAGCTGTTCTGCACTTTTGATTTATGCTTTTTAGTTCTGTAAACCTCTTCCTAAATCCACAGCATGATTTCTGAAAGGTGTGGATGTGTGAAGGGGAAACCAAAATTCAAGATGTAGGCACTGTGGGAATGTACAGTCACATAACATTGCTTTCTCTTTTGCCATGTATTTATTTTCTGCAATACCCAACATGTAATATGCCCTCCTGCCAAGTAGGCTTGTTCATAACTGTTTTACATCTATTTAGAAAACTTAACTTGAAATATGCTGGTTTGGTATGAGATACCTGTAACAAAGAAATGTTTAGATCACCTCGCAGGCCTTCTACAAGTCTCACATCTTTGACTGTAAAGAAGTCAAAGTGTGAATTTTCCAAACAATGTTGAAATGCTGCTGTAATCCCCAGGAAGTCTGCTTGGGATAAATGTGAATGTTTTGTAAAATGAAGCTGGGTACACAGTGTGATGCACAGATTTGTAGCACTTAACGGAAAATACATTCTGGCTATTGGGATCTCTGTAATTCCTTACCAAGTATTTTTGGTCATTGTTCCTTTTCCATTATTTCTTAGTATTCTAACAAGGTTTTGTTTTCTGTAATAGCTGAAATAGGAGATTTTGATGAATCAGAGGATCGAGAACACCTTAAAACAAACCAGTATTTTCCAAACCAGGAAAGAATTGAAGGAAAGATTCTGGAGTTCCACAGGAAACATGTGTAAGTCAGAATTAATGTATACCCTTACTATGTACTTCTGGGAAGCAGGTGGACTGGCTTGGTGGAGGTCAAGTACACTGCACAATAGGATGGTGTTAAGGTTGTGTAAGTTAAATACCAGTTATATCTAGCAAGTAAAGTTGGATGTAATGATTGTTACATAGTTAGGACCAAGTTGTTGGGTGGTAATTTTTCTCAAGTGATTTTTTTCAGCTTACCTTTAATAACATTTCGCAAAGAGCTATCATGAGCTTATAAGAATGGTTTTAGGCAAAATCATTCTTCAGAATATCCAATCTACAAAGTTTAGGTTCAGCTTGTCATCAAATGCATAGGCCTTGCTTTTTTCCAAGTTATTAAAAAACAATTGCATTGTGCTCATTCTATGTATTAAACATAACGAAGATGTAGAAGGATGGAGGGAGTGGCAAAGAAATAACTTTTTATCAGAGTTTATGCAATACCTCATCTTACAGCTGGAGTATTTTTAAATAAGTAAAGTTTCTTGGGGACAAAGAAACTATTTGCCACAAATATAAATTAATTCCAACACACGGTCAGGAACTGCATAAATGAGTGCTTTATTATTTGAAATTCCAACTTCTTCCACTGTGCACATTCAGTGTATAGTAAGGTCATCTGAAGGGGGCCTATAGGGATGCTGGGGATGGACTCTTCATTAGGGACTGTAGTGATAGGACGAGGGGTAATGGGTTAAAACTGAAACAGGGGAAGTTTAGATTGGATATAAGGAGGAAATTCTTTCCTGTTAGGGTGGTGAGGCACTGGAATAGGTTGCCCAGGGAGGTTGTGAATGCTCCATCCCTGGCAGTGTTCAAGGCCAGGTTGGATGAGGCCTTGGGTAATATGGTTTAGAGCGAGGTGTCCCTGCCCATGGCAGGGGGGTTGGAGCTTGATGATCTTAAGGTCCTTTCCAACCCTAACTATTCTATGATTCTATGTGTTTCACAGTCTAATCTGTCTGGCTTTAAAATGTGAAGATGTATTCAGTGTGTGCAGTGTAAGTAAGTAAGTAAGCAAGCTTGGTAAGTAAGCAGGTTTGGAATAGACAATCGTAGAATGGTTCGAGTTGGAAGGGACCTTAAAGCTCATCCAGTTCCAACCCCCTGCCATGGGCAGGGACACCTTCCACCAGACCAGGTTGCTCAAATCCCTGTCCAGCCTGGCCTTGAACACTGCCAGGGATGAGGCAGCAACAGCTTCTCTGGGCAACCTGTGCCAGTGCCTCAGCACCTTCACAGTGAACAATTTTTTCCTAATACCTAATCTAAATCTCCCCTCTGTCAGCTCAAAGCCATTCCCCCTCATCCTGTCACTACATGCCCTTGTAAAAAGCCCCTCTCCAGATTTCTTGTTGGCCCCTTTAAGCACCGGAAGCTGGTCACTCTCCTTTTGATGCAGCCCAGGACACAGCTGGTTTCTGGGCTGCAGGCGCATACTGCCAAGTCATGCTGAGCTTCTCAATGACCAACACCCCCAAGTCCTTCTCGTCAGGGCTGCTCTCAATCCAGTCTCTGCCCAGCCTGTATTCGTGCTTGGGATTGCCCCGACCCAGGTGCAGCACCTTGAGCTTGCTCTTGTTGAACTAAATGAGGTTCAACACTGTCCCAGCTCTCCGGCCTGTCCATGTCTGTCTGGATGGCATCCCTGTCCTACAGTGTATCAGCCACACCACACATCTTGATATTGTTGGCGAACTTGCTGAGGGTGCACTCAATCCCACTGTCCCTGTCGCCAATAAAGATGTTGAACAGCACCAGTCCCAGTACCGACCCTTGAGGAACACCACTTCTCATTGATCTCCATTTGGACATGGAGCCAGTGACCACAACTCTTTGAGTGTGACCATTCAGCAAATTCCTTATCCACCATATGGTCCATCTGTCAAATCCATGCCTCTCAAGTTTAGAGACAAGGATGTCATGCAGGACAGTGAGTGTCAAATGCCTTGCACAAGTCTAGGTAGATGATGTCAGTCTCTTACCCACCAGTGCCGTGGCCCCATCACAGAAGACCCACCAGATTTGTCTGGCACCATTTGCTTTTAAGTGAAGCCCTGTTGGCTGTCACCAATCAGCCCTATGTTGTCCATGTGCTTTATCATAGTTTCCAGGAGGATTTGCTCTAGGATCTTGCCAGGCACCAAGGTGAGACTGACAAGTCAACATATGATGCTTGTGGAAGGGTAGTCAACCTCCAGGGAGGTTCTCTTATGACCAAAATACTACTTGGAAGATCAGGGTTTGCATTCTGTATTTGCTACAGCTTTTAAGCACATGGTGTTAATATTGCTGAGAAATTCCTGATTGTTCCCAACCATAATGGCCCTAATGTTGGTTATGCAGTCCTTGGAGGCAACAGGTTAAATTAAGACAAAGTGTTTGATAAAATGGTGACAGAGGTTTGATTTCACCCATTGGGTGTAGTTTTTGAGACCTTCCATATTAGGATTTAACAGTTTGAAGTGCTTTTGTTAGCTGTAAATATCCACCTGCACAGTTTCTTATGGTTGTGTGTTTTAATCTGAATACTATATTAGACATCTAAATTCTCCTTTTGCTCTGCGGTTGTTGCTGACTGACAGAACAAGGATGTTTTTCAGGCAGCATCTGTGTTCAAGGCTAAGAAACATACTGTGTTATTAGAAAATCAGTTCCTAAGAACTTCAGCAATTCTTTTTGTGATCACTCATTTCCAGTTATACTGAATTACCAGTACTGATGGGATTTCAATTTCAATTCTCGGTGAAATCAGGTGTTTGTTACTTTTTTTTTTGCATTTGAACCCTTGAGGTGCGTGTGGAAACAGTGAGGGAACAAACACGTTGTTTTGAAGTGATTTTGAAGTAAAATGAAATGTGTGCTGGGGCTCTTCACCTTAGGAGATAGTGGCTTGAGAAAGGAAACCACTAATTTGGTAGAAATATGTCATTATTTTTCTTATGTCAAAAGAACTGAAACAATTAGACAATGACTTCAAATGGTTAAAGGAGGAACATCCTCATACAGCTCGTAAGACCATTGTGAAACTTACTGATTCAAGGTGCTGTGGAGTCTAAAGGTACAAATGGCTTCATGAAGGTTTAGACACGGTTGTGCAGTACAGGCTGATTGCTTTAAAATTTGAGAAGAAACGTGGGTTTTGTAGTTCTGGGGTAAGTTACATCCAAACCATCTACAGAACAGCCCTTTGTTAATCACATGCCCGGATCTGAGTTGCTTTTGCTCGTGGGGAATTTTCTTGGCTTCCTTTTCTGATGGAAAGGTCGTGACTGTCTCCTGAGTCAGTGAGGGACTGGTAATTCTACTAATTAGGGTTGAGCTTTTGTTTCAAACAAGTGACTTCTAATTGTTCTTTAGAGTAAGGAAAGTTTGTATTTTCGCTTGTCAGGAAGAAGTCAGTGGAAGGTTAATGCAAAAAGATTCCATGTTTTGTAAGTGTACTTTTCATTAGCTTAATGAAAATTGCATCTAACACAGCCATGTTATTAAAATGATTGCAAATCTTATTTTAAGGCAGTGTTTTGGAAGTGTACATTCAAGCCATGTTAAGATTAAAAGCTGATGTGTGTGGTTAGAAATGGTTACAACAGAACATTAGTGATACCTGAGTACCTCGAACTCATGTTTCCAATTGCCCCGTGCCTTTGGAAAAATTTTTGTTAGAGAGACGTAATTTTGGAAGCACTGCAATCCTAAAAATAGCTTTGACTTCCTTACACGTCTCCTCTCGCTTCCCTTGCCCAGGCAGTATTGGCCACCCTTTTCCATTTTTAGTAGTTGTGAAGGTCCTGTGTTTTCTCAGAACGCATCCACATTTTTTTCCCTTGTTCCTGTTAGAAGGAGCAAGCAGGAGTGTGGACCTTGGGCATTTGCCTCCTTGGTCATGGGCAGTCCAGTTAAATGGACAAAATGCTTCTTATTATCCCTGTGCATCATGTTTCTTTTTTTTTTTTCTAATCTTTATTTCCTTCAGTTGACATTATTTCCCCACTCTGGCTTCAGAAGACTGGTGTTTTCTTCCACTGATGATTGCTTTTGACAGAGGCTTCTTACATAAACAGAGCCTACAGGGATAAGAAACCATTTCTGGTAGGATGGCTCATCTCTACATTACGACTGCATCATCTTATTTCTGCCTCAGTTTTCCTCCTCAGCACCCCTACTCATACACCAGTGTTCAGGTGGTTTCTGTGTTGTATCAAGCCTGGAGTTTCAATTTGACTTTCTTGGGCTAGAGTTGCAGCAGGATCCTTCCAGTACCGTACGTGAGTTGGGGGAGCAGGAGGATGTGTACGGCTTTGCAGAGGGTGTTCAGTCCTTTTGGATGACGCTATGGAGTGTCTCTTCACATTAGAGAGTTGTGGTTTGATGTTAATCTTTATTCTTTTTATTGCTTCACTGTAGCTACCATTAGAAATGGCAGAAGAATGTAAACCTGAAAAAAACAGAATGCGTGTATCTAATCCAGATAATGTACATCAGGAATGTTTATTCATAAAGATGGGAATTGAAACCTTATTTTCTGTTAAATATACTTTTTTACTTCTTTCTCTTGTACAAATACTTTCTTTTAATTCCACAAATATTGAAAGATGAAGTTTACATTTAAATTTGCAAACGTAGTAACAGTAAACAGGATGAGTTATAGTTTTGGTGTAGCACATTACTTGTTTGCTTCAGCAAAAGCCTGAATTGACTTTACTGATTTTATTTCTGTAGTTTATAAAAGAAAAAAAAAAGTAGTTTATATTTTGAAGATGGTGTATTGGTGGTGGTGCAGTTAAACCTGGCACCCTGGACACTCAAAATGCAGTGGTTTTGCCTTCCTACAAGTAGTGCTAGTAGAATACTTGCTTTGAGGGGAGTGTATTCTAGAATTGAAGGTAACACGATTTGCTTGTGTTCAGATGGCTGTGGGTTTCTTTTTTTGTTTGTGTGTACATAGATAAATCAGGAAAGAAATTGAAGGCTTGATCGATTTATGCTTACCTTTACTGTTATCCCTCATGTCCTGTCACAGCTTCTTAGCCTAGTTGTCTGTAATTTAAATTCTTTAAATTGTTTGTAAATTAGAAAAATGATAACTTCAGGTTGCTACGTAGTCTGAACAATTTCTACACGTGCAGTGTTTGACACTTTATCTTTAAACTTCTTTATAAATCACTGGTTTTAAATGTTGTGTAAATCACTTAACATTTAGCAGCATTTATTTTGAATCCATTGCCCCACAAGTATTGTAGCACACAATCGGTATTTGTCTAAATGTGTATGTGTATGTAAGGGACCTTTAAACTAAAACCTATTGCATTGACAGCAGTTTTTGATGGAAAACACTTGTAATTGATAGTTTGTTGTCCATTGACCTGGAAGATTAAGTAGATTTATCTGCTTAATGGATGAGCAAAATTAGACCAGATTGTTTTCAGGCTGGTCTGTGCAGCTTAGTCTGCAGCAAACATCTGAGGGTAATTACTCTCAAACTGTTTCTCCTTTGTAAGTGTTTGTGATATAGGGTGAGTGCCCAACATTGCGACCAGCTTTCCCCACTCAAGGCTCTTCCTTGTTTGGTAGGTACAGGCAGGTCCTGCACATAAAAACTCTCTTAAATCTGGGTTGTTTTTTCAGTTCTTTCTGAGATGTGCTGTGCTTTGGCTCATATCTAATGGAACATAAAATAGCCGTCAGTGGTTCTGCATCACTTGCCTGTTTATGAAGAACTTTTATTACTATATGCCTCCAATTTTCTAGTCACCATTTTATCCTAATTTTTGTTTCCTTTCCCTTCCCAGCCTCCAGTGACCTTAGCATCAGCAGCACCCTATTTAAAAGACAAAGCACCACTTTCATTCTTAATGTCACTCTTTTCAGAAGAATTACAGCAGGAATTAGTGTGGGTGGAAATTACACACAGTGCTCTTAGAGTGTAACTCTAAGAAGCTGTGGCCAAAATTAGTATCTATCATCTACCTTTTTTATCTAATAAGTGTTTAATAAACAGGAACTATGGTATTTGAGCTATTTTGATGCAGGTAAGGAGTCTATGGAGAAATTATGTTAGTAACACATAAAGCCAGTATAAAAACAATTATTCCAGCATTACCCATTTCATTAAGAGGAGGTGAAATCTGCTTTACCTGTTTAAGCTCTTCAACGTAACCAGTTCATGTGGTGGTAACACTGGTAGAAATGCAGCTACAAGACTCTATGTAGTTTGGCAGTTCTTTTTCCATTTAAAGTCGGGTTTTTGTTCCTCTGTGTTTGTTCTTTGCAATCCCTTTATGCATACATGGTCATATAACATTGGCATTTGGGTAGGTTGGCATATGGGCTGAACTTGTAAAGGCAGGAACTTCACTGAATCCCAGCTTTCTGCAGTTGGCAAAATAAATTTTGGATTTCCTGTTGTAGTATTTTAGATTAGTATTTTCCCCTCCAGAATGAATAAGGCAATAGGAAACTGTTGAAATCCTGTTGTGAAGTGTATGTCCATTCAGGCGTACTTTCTCAGTCCGTTTTTGTGTGAGTTATAGTCTCAGGAGCATTTTATTAAGAATCAAAGAAGGATTGTTTCTGCTAACAGCTCCCATTTTTGAAGTGTTAACATACTAAATAAGTTTCATAATTCATTCCTACATGCAGGTAATATGTATTGTCATCATCCCTGTTTCTGATAAATTCAAATGTAATAATCATTCACTTTAATATTCTCAATTTATATTTAAAAGAAATTTCTATGGAGCAAAAAGGTTGTTTAGTCTGAAAAATGACTACAGGTAAGTAGGAGGTATTTTTTTAGGAGCATGCCTAGAAAATCAAGTCAGGGTAGCAGGAAAATGTGTTCAGTACCGACGTTATGCTTGGCACTACATAGGGCACGAAAATAGATCATACTACTTCATCATCTGTTTTAATGAAATGACACACAGATTTATGGAAGGAAGGACATTTCTTGGAAAGCAGGATTTTTAAACTTTGTCTTTTTGCAGGATCCAATCTGTTTTCAGGACTAGATGGTTGTAAATAGAGTAATAATTTTTATTCCCCTTGTCTTCCTTGTACCTTACATGCTAATGCACTTGGAAATGCAGGAACAGTGCAATCAATGCACTGGCATAGGTGGCTCGTGGAAGAACCATAATATTTATTATTTCTAATCATTTTCAGTGGAGATGCAGGGATCACTTTATATAACTGTGGCTGAAGCAGTGTCACCAGTCCTAGTGTCCTGGCAGGTCCTGTGCTACTTGTGTTTCTGTGGAGTGAGCAAAGGAGAAGGGCCTCCTGCTGTAGCTAGCTCAAGTGGACTGTCTTCACGTGGGCTCTCGTCTGTGTGCAGGCTCTGCTGTGTAGCTGCAGTTCATGGTCCATGGCCACCCCTCCCTTTCCTGAGCACCAGCTGAAAAATGCACTGTAATCCAGTAAATTCCCCCTCGTGGAAAAAAAAAGGGTGTGGAGGGGTGGGGGCAGGAGCTGTTTTGTCATGCAGGAGAACAAAATGTCAGTTGTTTGACTTCAGCAGACTTGTGGAGAAGTAAATGAAGGCTGAATCTGTGACTGGTGTGAGCCAGAGTCTGTAACAGTCACTGTATTGATTGCCTGGGCTTTGTGCATGCTCAGAAAGGGGTACTCCATGTGTGTACATCTTCCTCCTGTTTTCAAAGGCATTTCAACAGCAGATTAGTTCTTTTTAAAAATCCTTCTCTGGATTCCTTGGCAAGGAGGAAATTACACAGCCAGAGACTGGGGGAACGCATTGCACCCCGTAGTACTAGCGTGAGAATTCTGATGCAGTCCCGAAACCCCACCTGAAATGGGTCATTCTGTTGCAGTATTAGTTTTGTTTCTGTTGTGCTGGGTGTGCAGCTCTTTCATCTCTACTTTTATCTGATTAATACTGATGTGTATGCAAGCAAGCAGAAGAAGGAGCATTGTGGAATAAATTCAGGTTTGTTTGACTTTATTGAATCTAAACTGAAAAAGCTGTGGACTAGTTAGTTGTTTCAGTGCCTCTGTATGAGGGATAAATTTTAGGTTGGTCATTTACTGCTGTATATTGTTCCTATTACAAAAGTTTTGGTGTAATACTTGGAGTGAAACTGCTCAACTAAGTGAGAGAGAGAATTCTCATTTGGTGCCAGAGTTAAGACTTAAGTGCATTGGCAATGTTTGCAATATTGCAGAATCAGATTGCTCTTAAAACTGATTTATTCTTCTTCCTCATTATAGGGGTCAAACTCCTGCTGAATCAGATTTTCAAGTGCTTGAAATTGCTCGAAAACTGGAGATGTATGGCATCAGATTTCACCTTGCATCCGACCGTGAGGGCACCAAAATTAATCTAGCTGTCTCACACATGGGTGTGCTGGTATTCCAGGTAACGTGGGGAGGGCAGGCTGGGTACATGTGTCAGCCTTTCCGCTAGCACCTCTTGGGAGTAAGTCTCATTATAACTTCAGGTGTCTCTAATTGTTTTTAAATATAGCAATTTTTTATGGTTAAGGGAGTGTCAGTTAAGCCACCCAGATATTGTTTGGTGCAGTTTGTCCTTGTTGGTGCAGAGAGAGCAGTATCAAACCCAACAGTGACAGCAAAGTAGGAGGGTTTTTGTTGCCTGTTTGAAAGTTATGTATGTGTTCAATGAAAATCATCAGTTTGTTTGGTACAGCCCTTGAACTCAAGTCTGTAAATCTGGGATTTCAGTTCAGTTTCCCTTGTTTTAATGTTACAGTGTGGTTTTGCTGGGATAGTGTTGCTCTTAGTTTACAGAACTGCTGTTTCATTGAAGTGATCGGACCACTTAGAATTACTGGTTTTGTTGTATTAAATAGGCAATTCAGTGATGAGAGTTCTATTTATGAATGCGATCATACTATTTTCCTCCTCCAGGACACACAACACAGCTTACCTACTAGATATTTCCTTTTGGAGACTTATTCTGCATTCATTCTGTGTTTCATGTTCTCTTGTTACTCTGGGTCAGCTTCTCTTTGGAGATGCATCAGCCACTGCAGTTCCTCTCAGTCCTTCTCAGTGGCCTCTCAGCCCCCTGGGTTTTCCATCATTTCAGCTCTTTTGGGTCTTTCTCTTGAACTTCCATTTTCCCTCTCTTTCCTTATAGAGGATAACAGGAGAATTGATGCGGTAGTGAGTGCTGACAGGGTCCTTCTCTGAGGCTTTTGGAGTCAGTGGTACACAGAAGGGATGTCTGATGTAGGGCAGCAGGGTGAAGGCAGAGTCTGGTTTTATTCTGGTTTTAGCCAAATAAGCAGGCTTGTGAGCAAGGAGTATTCCTTGCACATTTTGCAAGTAGTCCTCCATATACTGTTAGTGCTGAATGATGAAAATCAGCTTGGAGGAGGGTGTCTAGAGTTCTGTCCAGAGCAGAAGGAAAGCAAGTGAAATAAAATGAAACCATCTTTCTTGTACCATAAAATGTCCTGAATATTGATGGGGTTGAAATGTTCCTTTCCCATCTGGTTTTCTAGGTTTTCATTCGGTTTCCTAAGTGTCTGCACAGAGATCACAGACATCACACACTTGTAGCTGTCTTTGTACTGGAAGATAAAATTGCTTAAGGGAATATTGTCACCAGAAATAAAAATCCAGTAGAATAGGCTGGAGAGGGTGGTGCCTGTCCATGCACATGTCTGTATACCTGCAGAACAGACATTTTGTTTGTTGCTCTTAGAAACTTTTGCCAGTTTTTAATTGTTACCATTTTAATTCAGGGGAATACGAAAATCAATACCTTCAACTGGTCGAAGGTCCGTAAGCTAAGCTTCAAGAGGAAAAGATTCCTTGTTAAACTCCACCCAGAGGTCTGTGTAAGTTTTACTATAATAGTAGGCTGGTCAGTGTTGAAAAAAAAATGCATACACTTAATTTTATTATGGAAAATTTTAGAGTTTGTGATTTTGTGAAACAACTTCACTGGGGCAGCCTTGTCTTCAGTTTTCAAGTAAAAATCTTCCTTTCTCACCCATGTCTCTCTTCTTAGATATTTTTTTTGTGTATCAGCCTGAGCTTATCCTTGTCATAGGCTTAAACATGTGTAAATGTAAGATAGAAAAACAAATTAAAACCAAGTATTTGGTGCATCCTGTCTCAGTACTTTTACTCTGAAAAAAGTTGAGCATTTTTATTTGTACCTATTTGTTCTTTTCCATTTCTCCTCCATTGCCATTCTCTGTGCTGCTTAACTTCTGTGGTTTGTTCCCAGGGCCCATATCAAGATACACTGGAGTTTCTTTTGGGAAGTAGGGATGAGTGTAAAAACTTCTGGAAAATCTGTGTTGAGTATCACACGTTCTTTAGGCTCTTTGATCAGCCAAAACCAAAGGCTAAAGCAGTGTTATTCACCAGAGGATCATCATTCAGATACAGGTAGGGAGAAACATAACAGATTCATTAAAGCTTGAATTCCTTATATCTTAGAAAATGAGATCAAAAAGGAAAACTATTCTTAAGTCATTCCATCTGTCATTCTGATCCACTGTGTTTCATAATGTTTGTACTTTTGTTGGGTTCACAGCGGACGAACACAGAAGCAACTAGTGGATTACATTAAGGACAGTGGGATGAAGAAAACCCCATATGAAAGGTACATACAAATACCTTTTTAAGGTGAAATGTATTTGACACTTTCATAGTGCATATTTCCTAAATCTCAGTGTTTTTAAATGATGCATGGAGACATCTTCATTGGTTGAGTTCTCAGGTACTGAGGTCTACCTCAGATTTAAGGTAGCTGAAATAAATGGAAAAAAAATTATACTGTTGTGATGATTTATGAAGCTTAGGAAAGTTTCAGCATCGCAGTTTAATGTCCATGGACAATATGTGAGTTAGCATCTTAAGTTCAGTATGTTTTGAAGATTCACTGAAATCAGCGAGGACTTGTCTGTACGTCACTGTAGCTGTGCAAGTAGCCAGTGGTAGAGCACATAACTGATTTTGGGAGCTGCAAGCCTCAAACTGTGCCCTTAAATACTAATGAATTTCTAAACTTATAATTAAATAAGTTAAGAATGTGCATTTTAATTATAAAATTGCTTTTTACTTACTTAATGATTAAACCATCCAGTCTACATGTGGGAAATTCCTTATAGTCTTCAATCTGAAAGATTATAGGAACTTCATGGGAATTTATAAAATTTTGTTTATCTATTAATATATACTTCCACTGTCTTAGGCTCTGGCTGAGCTCCTTTTTAATATGAAAGTTTGATTATTTTTTTCTTGTAAATTATTGACACAGAATAAATCTAACCATGAGCCTGATGCAGGATAACACATAGCATTTTGTATGCCATAAATTATATGGTTAACTGAATTGTAACTTGTTTGTACAGTTGCTGCAGATTAACTCATTCTGTTCTTGAAGCCATTCATTTGTAGATGTTTATACTGATGACAAAGGAAGAAGTTAAACTAAGAGTACTATTTAGCCTAGTCTTCTGCCCCAAGTTGCTTTTGAGCTCTCCTTCAGTGGTATGAATGATCTGGATCTTGCTTTATTCCTTTTTTTGTATGATTTTACTCTTGCTTTGTTTAATTTACAACTCTTGTGGCTGGTTCAAGATTTAAAAAAATATGATAAAATACAGCTTGAGATGTTTCTGTTGGCTACTAGAATGGAAGTAGATGAATTGAGAGGGGAGAAGGCTGGTTCATTTCTTGGATACTCACAGAATGCTCTCTGTTTGCAGGAGGCACAGCAAAGTCAGAGCATCCACTCGTGCTTCAAACACAGAAGTGCCAAAGCAGGTCAGTTCTGCAGCATTCTGTATTGCAGTCACGGAAGTTGGCAAACAGCTTTCTGAGATAACAGTGGAGGAGAGGTGATCTGAGTCAATTGTTTGGAATTGCTTTCACTGTTTGATTTTTGTCCCTGATGCGCATCTTCTTCTTGTGAGCGGTACCAGTTTTGATAGTTCTAGCCAGTGGAGTGTAAAGAGAGTAATATTTTCCTTTTCAGAGCTCAGCTTAACTGAAAATAAAATGTCATATTTTCTAATTACTATCTGCCTGCTTTCTGTGGAAGTCTCAAGTTCATTGCATAGATGCCTTCCACAGTCAGTTCCAAGAAAAAAATGATGCATGTTGAATGCAGTTGCTTTACATGCAAGAGGTTAAGGAAGCATCACAGGGTTATGCTGTCACTGTTTTATGCTACTTCCCCCTGTGTATGCCTTTTCAGCAGAGGCTATAAAATGCATGGATTTAATTTTCCATGCAGTTATCAGAATTCAGGAAAAAAGATCTTGCCTCTTACTGGGGCTGCTGGATCTGTTTCTGTATGCAGTTAAATGAGCTCTTCTGAAGCATGTATTCCTTCTTTATCAGGTACTGGATGCTACATTTGGTATTATGTGTTGTAAAAATATTTCTCTGTTGTGTCTAATTTTCTTCTTAGAGTGTCCCATTTATTGAGGGCTTGAGAAGCCCAGGGTCTCCTGCCTCAGCAGCTGCTCCCTTCCACTCAGTTCACTCATCGGCCACTCCTACTCCTGTCCTGCCCATCTTTGCAGAAACCAGCCCTTTGTCTTCGAACCCCCGCGAGCCATGCACAAGGATTCCAGAAAAGAACAGTGCAGCACCAGCAGAAGAAGTTGGGAGGAAGCTGATGCAGCAGCCTGGATCTCCCATGCTCCAAGGTGTTGGGTTTGATAGTGTTGCAGGAAACTGTAACCCTGCTTGTCCTGTTGTTGAGAATGGTTGCCGTTTAGATCTAGATGTAGAGAGGAGTAGTAAGGAGAGCAGGGTTGCTGTTTGTAAAAATGACAATGATGAGGATGACTTTACCACAGGTGTTTTCATTGCTGAACGAGAGCATCAGCATGGCAGTCGGGGTGCCCCTCTTTTCACATTGACAAATTCACAGTTACAGGTGTCAGAGGAATTTATTGATGATGACCCAGCAGAAATTTCCTTTTTTGCTGGTGGCTCTGAGGCATTTTCATATGTGTACAGTGGTTTAGAGTTAAAAGGCTCTGATTTCTCTAAGCATGTGTCAGAGTTGCCTGGCTTAACTACAGATGCCCTTCAGCAAAATACAGTCTCTCCTCAGTCGAGCCCTGACAGATACTCAACTGAAGCTGTAGATATGAATATGGAAGATGAGTTTGAATTTGAAGAAGGGAGCGATTTCAATGGCAATGAGAGACCATCGGATACCTCGGAGCTGTTCAAGGTGAAGGCTCAAGCAAGCAGGATGCAAAGCCTCCTGAGCCCATCCGAAACAAGTTCACTCGTCAACAACCGCTCCGAGAGCAGCTCCCTCAATAACTTGGTGCTGAACGGTGCATCCTCCATTCATGCATACAGCTCTGCGAACCATTCAGAGGCCAGCTCCATGGTGAACTTCCCTGCCTACTCGGTGCGCTCCGAGTCCAGCTCAGCCTTTCAGTTCACAGACATTATTGACCAGCTGGAACAGCTGAGCTGTCCACCTACCACTACAGAAGACTCCAGCAGCACAGACACAGATTCCTGGGACTCTGAAGCTGCTGCGCCACTGGACGTAAACCTTTTTTTTAGTAACCCTTTTGCACAAGCCACCAGTGAAAACATTGCTTTCGATTTTCAGAACAATTTAAAAAATCTCACGCAAGAAGACTGGGCAGAGAAGGCACATGTCAACTGATGCTTGATTTTTGTGATGGATCCCTTTATGCTGTTCAGGCTTAGAACTGAAAAGGTTGTGGTATCAGTCACTTTAGGCATGAACACTCTAATCCAGTGACTGGAGTTTTAATCTCATAACATAGTTGATTTTTAGTTCTACTTTTTCATGTACCTCTTCAGTTTCCCTCAAAGCATCCTAGCTTTGGTGCTGTTTTAAAAGCCTCACACTGCATCTAGAATGTGTTACCATAGGTTACAATGTTCATAAAATACTGCTTTTATGAAAACCCAATGATTGCAGAAAAGTGTCATCCCTGGCACATCACAGACTGCAATACATTGAAGGACTTCTTTGGCTACAAATGTACGTGTAAGTGTCTGGAATAATACGCTGCTCCTCCAACATCTGAATACAACAGTAACTTTTGCACATGCTTGTTAACAGGCAGACGCATCCCATAAGTCAGCTCTTTTCCTGCTCTATGGTGAGAGTCCTCATTTTGGGGCTTTTTATTTGTTTGCTTGTTTCCACAATCAAAAACCAAAAAAGGACAATCTTCAAATGAACTACAAAGGAAAGTTTTAAACTATCAACCTATGCAACGTGTCTGTGGTATACTCAAAGAATGAATAACCTACATGGTAGTTTAGAAGAGCAAATGTGTATGCAATCAAATGAAAATAGCCAAAACATCTTGTGAAGACAATCAGTGTATTTTCTGACTTCAAAGTGCCTTCAGCAGTCTAGCAACAAACAAGTACCCTTCAGCTTTGCAGCAGTTTGGAGATATATGCATAGACTATAAAAGCACTTAATCCCCATTGCATTTTGTCTCACCTTTTTCTTTATTTAATCACTGCATAAAATGCATACAGATTAATTCATGAAAGTGTCCTTTATCTGGGGAATACAGATAGTGGTGGCAAACCCAGTGATAGCTTTAACGTTCTCTTTAAAATTTGGGCTACAATCAGAAACATACCGTGATCTTTCTGAGCAGTTGAGGTGTGAGGAGGAGCCAATACTGTAGAAAACAGAGCTTTACTGCTTTCATGATTATTTTTTTAGTCAGGTGTTTTGATGTGAGACTTCATCTGTAACTTTGAGAGCGTAACTGAAAAGACAGTTACTGAACCAGTCACATCTAATTTAGCAACGTTTATTGGGGTGAAATACTAGAAGTTGTGAAATGCCCTTCCTGCCTGCCAACCTGATGGATTGGAGGGGTGAAATTCTGAGCTGCAGCTTATAATAGCGATTTTTTACAGTGCTTTGCTTTTGTACAAGCAAGAACGTGAAATACAGACCTGTCTGAAACCTTTTGATGGAAGGCTTCATTTCTTTCAACACTTTGGTTTTGGGGTTCCCTGTTGCCCAGTTTTCAGTCTTTTGCAGAGAGAGTGCCCCACTAGTACAGTGACTGCCTCCAAAATAAGCAGTTCATAGTTATAAGCATAGCTCTATGCTTCATATTATTTATATCTGCTTTCTTAAATGTGGACTTGATATAGTGCTAAAAGACCTCAGTTCTTTACTCGAACATTGACAAAATCCTGTTCTTTCTCAAAATTCTGATAACTGCAAGAGAATTCCTCTCAGTGAATGGTAGAATATGAGGAGGTAAAACCTCCTTTCGTCACCCATTTCTTCCAGTTTAGCTTTTACCAAGGTATGATTATTATTCATAGCATTTACTTTTATACTGTGGTTGCTGTGTTTGAGTGGTTCCACTGTCGTTCCAGAGGGAAACCTGTCCCCTTTGTCAGTGGCACAGAAAATCAAAGCACATTTAGCACAAAGTGTTAGTTTGGACCTACAGGAATGTACAGCACTTGATAGATCTTTTTTGTTTAAGTGCTATACTTTATTTTTGTTAAATTTTTTCTTCTGTTGAATGTGTGTTCTGGCTCTTCGTGTGGCTTTATTCGTACCTGTGGAGGTGATGTTGTGGATGTGTAATGTGGCATTTCTAAATAGGCACTTGAAGGAGGTCTTCAGTTGTGCCCAAAGCTGGCACCTTTAAGTATGTTTTAGGTGGTTTGTCTGATTTCCTTCCCACAACTATGTTGTGTTAACTTAAAAAGAAAAACAAAACAGAAAAAAGAAATCTGTCTGCAGACTCTTAGAGGTGGTAGAGCCAGGGACAAATATGTGGATAAAGATTTAGAGAAAGGCTGTTAATGTATTGAGAAAAAGAATCAGGATTCAGTTATTTGTCTATAATCATGTCTGCCTTCATTTCATGTTCTGTGTTCTCAGTCATAAGCATCCTCTCTAAATGTGTTGGAATTGTTTAGTGTGGGAATAAATCCAACTGAACTGTCTAGGTTTTCAAAAGATATTAGGAAGAAGCTGCCTGTATTTTCAGAAACCATGCTTGGCAATCCTGAGAGAAGGCTTGTCAATATGCTCTCTTGCACCACAGTTAGTTTGAAAAGGCGTATGTAGTGTTTTCTTCTTGTATTTTGCAACCGTGCAGATCTTTTATTGGCAATTTTAAATCTCAGGGATTTTTTTAAGGAAATACAAGGTAATAAAGAGTCTTAATGCCCCTTTTGTTTTTGAAAGGAATGGGTGTGACTAGGATCTTGATCTTAGAACAAGATGTGTGGATCCACAGGTGAGGATGTACGTGTACAGAGCTGCTCAGATGAAGGTTTTGGTTATGGCGTCACCAGGAACACTGATCCTTCACATCATCTGACTTCTCTGCATACCTGGATTTAAGGTGCTTGAGCAAAGGTGATGCTGGTCAGCACCTACAAGCTGATACCTTTGCGGGGGGTGCGCACCTGGAGTGTACTTCCAGGCTGTGTGAGAGTTCAGTGCTGCTGCCTGTTGGTTATATCTTTGCTGTTGCTAATTGATAGCATGTAGTTGTCGTGGTTTCTTTCTGGGCTTTTCTGATTTTTCAAAGCTATATGGTTTCTGAGGATATAGTTGCATGTTTAGCTCTGTTGTTTTATTCGTGGTTTCCCAGACAGGCACAGAAGGAGAAAAAACATAGTTTATAAGCAGAGCTTTTAATTATAGTAAGAAAGCTGTGAGAAAAGGTTCTTTATCATTTCCTCAAAAGTGGTAAGTTCAGATTCGCTTTCCAATAGAGGTTTAGAGAAAACCAGCCTGCCTTTATGGGAATGAGATGGTTTGGTGCTTCACAGTGAACTTGAGTACAAATTGGGAGTTACTTCAGTGCAGCAGAGGCATGCCAGGCATCCTCTTATTCCCCAGTGCCTCCTGAGGTGGCAGAGAAGGTGAGAGAAGGAAAGGCTTTCTGTTCTCTGGCCATATCATTTCTCTTTGGGTAGTCTGAGGGAATTGGTGAACTTTGGGGCAGTGTGGTTATTGTCCCAAGTACCAGCATGCTGTTAAGCTTGCAGTGTTACTCCTTGTGGTTTGTTTTGGGTTCTTTTTATGGTGTTGATACTAGTAAAACTTAGTTCTTGGTACTGATTTCTGTGGTAGGAGTAGATGAAAACCTAGGTGCAAACCTTTGCTTGTCCATGGCAAGTGAGTGGTCATCCTCTCCTCTCCCCAATGCTCACTTCTGCAGGTACGTTCGTTCATGTTTGCTTCTTCCCCCATCTGTGGGAGGCTGGGGCAGGACAACATACATAGGTACCTATATTTCTAGTCAAGGTACAGGTTTTAGTGCTGGGTTTCTCCAATACAGACAGCCACTGGGGTTGCCAGGCTTGTTCTCCTGGTCTAGACTGTGTATTCACCAGCTCTTGCAGTGGTGGATCAGTGACGAGTGTGCTGGAGCTATTGCTATTTACCATCCTTCCACTTCTCTGTTTTCCTACTTTAGAAAATACATGTAGCCACAGAAAGCAGGGCAATATTAGTGGCTTTTCAAAATGAGTTAGGGTTTAGCTCTCTTGCAGTCCTCTACTTGCCTTGTTGCAGTGCAACTGAAAGACACTGAGAATTGTGTCTTGAGTGGGTAATGTAATCTGCACCTGTGTAAATCTGCACCTCGTTTCTGCATCTGTGTAAAATACACACTATATATGTGTATACTTACAA